AATAGTAAGAATATTTTCATTCGGTGAAAGATGGAATGTTCCATTCAACTCGGCTGTCGCCTCGTTGAATGGAACATTCCATCTTTCACCTCATGAAAATATTCTTACCATTGCACTCATAAACATTCATTATTTGTATATTTGCTGCCACCGTCTCAGACCTGGGAGAGTATAACAAGATCGGCTGATCCAGACTCTTTCTTTTTTCCTTAAATGCAAGACAGCGACGTTCAAGAAGTCCTTACTTAACAAGGTCAACAAGGGTGTGGAATATACTACCAAGGAACTTGACGGGGAAAAAACATCATGCACCTTGAATGAATTTAAAAAGGTGCTTACATGTATTATAATGTTTGTGATGTTACTCTGAGTGTATATCCACACCGGGCGCGAGCTTGAAAAATATGCCCGGCCACGGTGGGAATCGAACCTACGACCTTTAGAATACTAGCCCAATGCTCTGCTATCTGAGCTACGCGGTCAGGACGGTTCGAGTGAGTGATATTGAATACACAACACCAACACAAAAAAAAATCATATTACTAGATTATACAGGGTGTATCAAAAAAAGTAAGACAATTTTGAAATTGCTCTCAATTCCACAATTCTGTTCATGAAATGTAATTTTTTATATGTTTGGATTGCTTGAGTTCTTAAATTATGGAAAATATAAAATGAAAATGAAAATAGTAAATTTTGCTATCCAGGGGGGTGGTCAACTTTTGCTCTCCTAAAAGTGGCTTGCGCACGGAAATGACAAACGGTATTCTTTATTTGAGTTCATGTATGAAAAGTTCGCTATTTGTTGCACTTATGATAAAATTTCGGCAAAATTTTACCGAGTACAAATCCTACGAAAAGCCTATGAAAACGTTGCATTTTTCTCTGTTGGTGCTGTTCTTGCTTCATTATGAATTCTTTTTTACTCCCATGAGAGTTCCGTGGAATTTCCATGGAATTTGTGCTTTCGAGTTGTTTGTGCTGAAACGCATTCTCTCGTATAATACCCCGTACACTTTGAGATGGCGATGCCACAATTTACCCCGCAGTAGAGACCTTTTATGCATGGTATCAGCGTTCCTCCGTAGCAAGAACATAAACTTGGTTCGCCAAAGTTTCACGAACGAATATCCGGCAGTTGTACGATGCCCTTCACGTATTCGCACGTGAAGGGCATCGTACATCTGGATATTCTTTCGTGAAACTCTGGCGAACCAAGTTTATGTTGTTGCTACGGAGGGACTCTGATACCATAAAAGCTCTCTGCTGCCGCGGTCTAAATTTTAGCTCAAGAATGAGCGCTAAGCAATTCGATTACTGTAATAAATATTTGACTCTTTCAAATAGCCTTACAAAATGGTAGCATTTTGTTCGGCTAAAGCGATGCAATGTTTGCTGTAATTTCGACTTTTAGTAACACCTCTTGTGTCGCATTAAGCTTTCGCGTTGTCTGAAAGACGTAATAATGCTTTTTTAACGTTGTGTTGAGAATGACAACGCGGTTGACAATACTCATGGGAACACAAATTATTGACAGTTTTTGTCTTGCATGACAAATTTATTTGTAAGTTCTTTGTAGGTTTGCATGGCGATAAAACACACAATACTATTGTTTGTGGAAACACCAAATTTCTTTGTTTTGAAAGCGCGTCGTCGAGCCGGCCGCGTCGTGGATCGTAAACTCCCTATTATTTTATTACCTCAAAATTTCATAATCTTGCTTTACATTGTGACTTAGAAACCATTCATGATCATGATCAATTTTTCAATCCCTACCTTAAATCCTTACGATAATCTGAACTGTCATCGTAACCCTATCCTGTTCCTAACTAGAGAAGCCTATGTCCTGTATCCACTGATTTATTACATACCTCCTTGCGTCTTTTCGCAGCCTCTTGATCATTTGAAGTTCCTTGACTACTATTTTCATCAATTTTCGTAGGACGAACGACAGCGACAGGACGAGAATGTTCAAAGGGCGCAGTTTGGCCTGACGAAGACCTAGGTGTTAAATCGTGCGAAGAATTCTCATCGTTCACATTAGCAATACTGTCAGCCTTCAGATTGCTGGAAAGTTCTCTGTGGCCTGATGAATACCTGGGTGCAAAATCTCGACAAGTGCTTCCCTCATTGGGGTCATTCGAACTTGAAGTAGACTTTGAGTTAGCGATCTTGCTCAAACGTTCTTTGCTTGCATATCCAGAATGGACTTGATTTTTTTTCAAAGATGTGTTTGCAGTACTGACATTCAAAGTGTTTGGGACAGTTGATTGTGTGATAGACCTTGAATTAGGATTTTTGTTCGTAAGTTGTTTATTCGTATCAACTACTCCAGTTTGTTTCAGCGGAGACCTGCCTACCCCAGGTGGCAACAGATGTAAAATTCCAGATCCTTTTTTAGGAACATCGGGTACTTTTAACTTTCTGCGTGCGATTCTACTTTCGGAATTTTTTACAGGTGATTTTATAGGTGATTTAGATTTGGTGTTAGTGGACATAAAATTAAAAGTTACCCTGCTCTTGCTTTTAGCAGCTGTGAGATTCGATGTTGAAGTGGGATTTTTCCTGGGTATTTTATACGAAGCAAGAGAAGCTTGAGATGATTGTAGCGACGAGTTATTAGATGCAAAAGTCGAAGTTGTTAACTTGTCTTCTTTATGTTCAAGTTTCGCTATCTTTTCTGGATCAAATTTTGGAGAGATGTTTCTGTTTTTAACAGACGACGCACAATCTGCCGCTGGTCTGGTAAAGCTGCAAGCACTTGCAGTAGTATCAAATCGCTTTAATCGTTTCTCATTCATTAGCTTTCGTGAGGCTGTTTCATTTTCATTACACTGTTCCGTGCTTGGATCGTTCACGTGTTTATACACATTTCCATGAATAGGGCAGCGACCAAACATTTTTCTTGGACAGCAAGTAAATGCACTCCCTACAAAGAAAAGACCCTTAACAAATTGCATTCAGAAATAAATAGGTGAATGACAGGTAACGCCATCATCATAAATCATATAGTAATATGTATTTCTGATCATGAATTTTTCAAGAACGATCAAATTTTGAGGTCTTTGAAATGGTTTTCCAAAAAGCACGAGAAAACATGCTATTACTTACTATAATTATTATGTTTCTAAATGATCTATTATTATGTTTTGCATAAATAGTAAAATGAAAACAATGACTGCATGGTTGAGAACGGTGGGATTATTCAAACAATTAAAGGACAATGGAACATTACATCACTGAATTGTAACTGGATGGAACTATTCAGTGTTAAACTTGTGCAAGGTGCCTATTCATTGGATAATTATCACTTATTTACTGAGGCCGAGGGAAACAGTATGTTTTGTGGACCAGAGACGTCGATGTTTCCCGAGGCGAAGCCGAGGGAAACATCGACGGTCGAGGGTCCACAAAACACACTGCTTTCCCGAGGTCTCAGTAAATAAGTGTTTTATTATATATCAATAGTCAAAGAAACAACAAATTAAAGAACAACTAACGTAAATACATGAAATATTTTATTGTTAAATACACTGCAGTTACTTAAAGCGAAAGTTTTAATTACGTACTAGGCATGTCCAAAGGTCGCATCTTCACGTGATGGCGCACGTGATTTTTTTTGTTATTCGCCGGTCGATAACGTATTATCTCCCTCTCGCGCTGTTGCGAGGGAGACAGCCTAATTTCGTCACTCTCACGTGATATACTCTCAGCCAATAAAACACTAGAAAAATGCGACTTTGACTATTGATATATAATAACTTAAATTATTATATATCAATAGTTACACGATACCAGATTCATTTTTAACGACACAGGAGTAATGTCTATCTACAAAATTTCCCCATTTAACAGTTTTCGTTTTATTTCGTCATATTATCCCGATTTTAAGTGTCAATTTATTCCTGAAGCCGATAATTTCGATGTCGCGACAAACGAATCCAGTATCGTGTAACTGGGGCTTCAGTTTGCAATTTTGATTACAGAACTTTAATCTTTTATATAAAAATTGTAACCTTACTTTGGATGCAAACCAAACAATTTTAAAGTCTTTTTAACAAATCTATTTTTATATGTACCTGATAATAAGCCGGGGTTTTCCTCCTTGTGTGATGATGTAGAAGTAATTTGTGTAAACGTTTTTGGGACTCTAGGCTTTGTTAAGGACTGACTTGCTGTTTTATTTTCTTCATTTCTTAGTCTGCCCTTGTTATCAACTGAAAGGGAATCGCTGTGTAGAGTGTTTAGTCCAGTAAATATAGAACCTAATACGTCTGGATTGGCGGTTGTGGAGGACCTATAAAATACAACGGATAACTTTGTTATAGGAACAGATAGGAAATTTAAGAACGATCTGTTCTTAATAAAGTCCTTGGAAGCAGTGTGGAACACTACCCAAAAATATTCTACCATGCAATGTACCCGCAAAGGAGACCAAACAATCACCCTCTGCCTGCTGTTGCTTAGAGACAACCTAGTATGCTCAATAATCCAAAAACCCCACCGAGACCTCAACCTTTGGACAGAGGATAAAAAGACGGGGGGGGGGGGGTACTACTTTAGTACACCTATATTGACACCCGTGTAAGGGAAGCTGCTCAATGATAGCGGAAAATTACAAAAACATTTTTCTTGAGAAGAATCAAATAAGTTACTGACTAACTTTGGTGGCGAAGACTGTTGTGACGTAACGGCACTGGCTGGTGTTTCAATTACAGGTAGATACTCCAGATCAAAATCACTTCCAAATAAAGAAAATGTTGCTGTTGGTTCCATCTCACGAGGTAAAAGATATCTTGTTGTACTTTGATGCACATTTTCATCACTTTTTATCTTCCTTTTTTTCTTCTTGGCTGATTTTCTACGCCTTTTACGTTTTCTTCTCTTCGGTTTTGAAGCATGCGAGGTCATGGTACTGGCGCCTAACGGATAATTTAACATTTAAAACAGATTTAGACTAGTAGAAAATAGATTGATTACAGTTGCCAAGTTTATATCCAGTATGTTATGTTCTTTCAACATTTGAATCGCTGAAACTATGTGCAGGGATGCCTACAAGTAATTTTCTACTTCCAGCTGTGGGAACAACTCAAACTTCATACAAAATGTCAAAACCAATCTTCTTTGTAATATTTCTCACCAATACCCGGAAGAAATTGTCCCCTCGCCCGTAGGCGGCGACTGCCTTGCGCAGGCGAGGGTGGTTTCTGGGGATAGATAAGTACACATGCAATATAAGAGGTGTATGGGAGACTCGATGAGCACAAAGTGAGGATGAGAGTGTATGACGGTAGGCAGTCACGCGACCTTGGTTAGCTGTTGCTAATGCTTTCTCAATACTATCATGTATTTATCTATGTCAAAACGCAGATGGAACACTCATCAAACATTTATTTTGTTAATAGACAATTCCCATTATAAACTAATTTTAAAACTAGGCAAGGAGATGCAAATAAATCACCACAGCTAGAAAGAGCATACTAAAATTAGTAAAATTACAAAATTTGGTTGCGAAATGTTGTAAAATGCGGAAAATATAGCCTTGCAAAGTTCGCAAATTTTGTATACTTTTGTATTGCGTGCGGAAATTGCTACCATTTTCGGCCGAAATGTGGTAGGAATGTGGTAGGAATTTCCGCACGCAATACAAAATTATACAAAATTCGCGAACTTTGCAAGGCTATATTTTCCGCATTTTACAACATTTCGCAACCAAACTTTGTAATTTTACTAATTTTAGTATGCTCTTTTTAGCTGTGATGATTTATTTGCATCTCCTTGCCTAGCTTTAAAATTAGTTTATAATGGGAATTGTCCATTAAGCTTGAAATGTCCCACGTAACAATACGTAACTGCCAACTCTCGTCGATTCTAATACTCGTTTGATCGGGGCTTAAAGGGATATGGCAGTAAAAAGTAACTTTGTCTTATTTGAAAGAACTTTTAAAGTTCTATATGAAGACCCTTTACAACTTTTTCGTACCTTGCTTAGTTTTCGAAATATTTTGACCAAAAATGGTGTGCAGTCCGCCATCTTGGTATAATAATTGACCTAATTAACTGAGTTTTTGATGACGTCACAATGTGACACTAAATTAGAATGTTGTGAGTTCATTGGGTATTAAAAAGACTTCGGAAAATCGAGTTTCATATTGATAATGACATGTGGTTTGCAAGATAAAAATTTCGCTTTTTACCCTACTTGCGACGTATGCATATCGAATGAATATCCGGGATGGCGGAGTGCACGCTGCTTTTGATCAAAATAAGTTTATTTATCGAAAACCAAGCACGATACGGAATAATTGTAAGGGAAGTTTATATATCATTTTAAATGTTTTCAAATAAGACAAACTTAATTTATATTGCCATGTCGCTTTAAGGCATAACCCACGGTTATACTTACTGAAACCTACAACGAACTTAAATTACCTTTATCTGAGGATTTTGTTTTCTTTGTTGTCTTCTTTCTCCTTGAACGCCGTGCTGGAGTTCGACTACTTCCTTGAGTCGTTCTTCTCCTTCGTCTTCTCTCCCGTGATGTAGCCACAGTTCTTGCACGACGTTGTGATGTCGAAGCTCTCGAAGATATGATGCTACCTAAAATAGTACGTCATGTTACGCCATGGCTTTTCAGCAAAATTCTATTAAGCTGCTTTAAAATAAACTGGCCAATGCACGGCTAGAACTGCTGATGTTGCATGTAAGCCATGTTTACATTGTAACGGGTCACCGATGCAAAAACTATACCGGATAGGGCTGTTTACATATGAAATGTTTTTATCTTCCCAATTTCTGCAACGAACCGATGGTGCGGCGGTTCGCTCTTCGAAGTGGTGCGCGGATTGGTTTTTGCACCGCTAGCGCTCTCATTGTAATGTAAACACCAATCGGAGCAATTTTCGGTTCAATGCGTGACTAAAGATGGCGTCTAGCAAACAAAAACTTCCTATTCTTATCTTATTTGTGGGTATCGCTTGTTCACTCTTTTAAATGATGTCTGCAATATTTTTGTATTTGGTAAATATATACAAGCAAATACGACGGCACAGAAGGGCGGGGACGAAAGCTGTTTACACTCGGGCCGTAACGTTTCGCGAACGAAGCAAAAAACTAATCCGATACAATGCAAACATAGCCGTAGTTGCCTGATCATAATTTTAACCCTGGTGCATGAGAGGAGAGTGTTTCCAGTTTGAAAAATACAAAGACAACTTCGACGTTTCGAACAAAGGCCCAATTTCGTTCCCAGAGTATGCCTGTTCGCGGGTTATGTAGTGGCATGCCACTACATAATCCGCGAACGGCATACTCTAGGAACGAGATTGGCGAAGGCACTTCCTTGGGAACCTAACTATTAGCGAGGTTTAGCAAAGACGACGCGACGTCAAAGACGACGTGAAAATGGCGTAAAAATGGCGTGATATGCCCATCTATGGATGTGCCCACGCCATTTTACGCCATTTTCACGTCGTCTTTGACGTCGCGTCGTCTTTGACGTCGCGTCGTCTTTGCTAAACCTCGCTATTAACTTCCCGACGACGGCCACGGCATGCCACTACATAACCCGCGAACAGGCATACTCTGGGAACGAGATTGGCGAAGGCCCTTCCTTGGGGACCTAACTATTAACTTCCCGACGACAGGCACGGCATGCCCAGTGAACTGTAAATAACCTGGAACGATAACTCGAGTAAACATGCCCATACTTGCCTGAAGCCAAGATGGCGGCCAATATATGCGTGTTTTTTGCGTGGCTATGTCACGAAGTGTTGGTCGGCAGAGAACGCATGGTAATGGCGCGATTTGATTTTATATTGAAAGACCGACAAATTTGGGGTTTTTTATTTCAATTATATAAGATATCTGCATTCTTTTGACAGCAACTATAATACGAAATAAATTTCTTGGTAATAAGATACAATCAATCGTTATTTTACAAGGATATCGAGCGGCATCGTTTAAATATATTGGTGACTTCAATAAAAAAAGTCGAACGTTCCAACAGCGACGAATTGCTTCAGTTTCAATTATATTTGTGGACTCCAGTCGACGAATAATTGATTACAAGATAAGTATTGTATTATTTTTACTTTTTTCATGATAACTATTGGTTTTTAAACAAGATCAACTTGTTTAAACGAGGCCTGTCATGTAGTCATGTACTGGGTATTCCATTCTCAATTCTGCATGACAGACTCGCTGCAGTGCTTCCCGTACTGTAAAGTGTAAAACAGTAAAGGAATCGCTCGTGACTCATGAAGAAAACGTGATAGAAATAGTTTATAAAGAGTAAATATCTGCTTTTAATAAAACTAACTAATTAAGTAAGTGATACATCTTAATATAGTATTATTTTCTCATGATTTCAATGACATAATTTTCGACCAGATGACAAAACTTTCACACATTTTTATGACTATTTTATATCACACCGATTTTATGATGAACTCTTCTTGCAGTCTGTCAATAAATTGTGCCATGTTCCCTATCTTCTTCTTACATCTTTGCAATTGCTGCTGTAAGTTTTTAATTTTATGTTTTAATTGTTTTTTTAGAAATTTCTTCATCTTGAAGTGAATTATTGATTGCCTGCAGTGGTGTCTGTTGTATTAGTTTTTGCCATTTTCCATAGCAGTGATTATGATATCACACAATAGGAATGTATAGCAGAAGTGTATCTTGAGTTGGTGCCTTTGATGTTTTTGTCCACTGAAATTTTAACTTGCTCACACCAATCCACCATGCCATTCTGGCTAAAACAGCCGGAAGTTTTGATAAATACAAAGTGCCAGTTGTACTTGCCAGGATGGCAAATGATGGCATAATATTGGTGTCAGCTGTGTTGTCAGGCTTATCGCTCATGCGCATTGAAAAAACACAGACAGATTTTTGCTTGAGTTACACTTCTGCTATTAATACCTTCCTGTATTATGTGATGATATTGTTGTTAACAATAGCAGGGTTGGTAAGTTAGATGAATAATTAGGCCAAATCTTCACTAGTGCACTATTAGAACACAAAGACCTAGTGTGATGGTGTTTGGCCTAATTATTCAGCAAACCTACCAACCCTGGACAATAGATGTTCATGTGACATAATTGGATGTTTATGGCCTTGATGGGTGGTGCTTCCTTCAGGCATTTTCAGTTGGCTTCTAGCCTCTTTTGGTATGCTTTGCAGTTTGAATTCCAATTTGAATACTGATGGTACAGCATTTTTTTTTAGCCTGCACGACCCTGTTGAGGATGGTGTAGACAGTAGTCAGGGGTGGATTTATAGGGGGGTGCACAAGGGTGTGACCCCTGTTGACCTTGGTCAACAGGGGTGCAAAAAAATCAAATTTGGAAATATGGCACAATTTCCAAGGTTTTTCCTTTTTTAAAGTCATACTGAAGCTCATCATTCAATGCCCATATCACAGGATACCCCTGGACCCCCTAGGGAGCTTGCGCCTTCGGCGCTCAAGTCATTAGGAAGCCAATTTATTTGAATGCTCTCCCACCACCCCCTAAAGAATTATAAAGGAACACTCGGCTGCTTACCCAGCACCCCCTAGAAAAACCTTGCTGGATCGACCCCTGAGTGTAGTCACATGCATCGAAATGATTACTACAAATGTAGCTGTGGCGTTTTGCCCTCCACTGTTGCCCATCATTTATTGCTCTCTTAAACTACATTTTCCCACTTAAGATGTCTTTCATCTTTTTTCAGGAAAACCTGTATTAATGAAAATAGGCTTTTTCATTTTGTCATTATGAATATGTACCCATTGTCATAGTAGTGTTTACTATTGAAATGTAAATAAATTGAATATTAATAAATATTTTAAAGTTTCAATTGTTTTGTAATTTCTTACCTGTGGAATGCACAGTATATGTTTTGCTTTCATTTTCCTGACGCAAGTTTTGTTTTCATAAACGACACAAGTAACTGGCATTTATTCCAGTCAATAACAAACTAATTTTGCAGTTTAAACTTTTTTTCCAACTTTGTTAATTAGAAAAATGTTAAAAAATAACAAATTACTTGCGCTCTGCCAGCCAGATATGGACTGGGGCGATATGAAAAACACTCATTTTCCCCCGAAGATTTTTTACATGTTTAATCTGATTTTAACTTTAAAACAATAAGTTTCTGGATGCTCGGAAATGAATTTCTAACAGTATCTAAGCTTTTCTCAAATAACTGACGCTAAAATGTCTCCGAACCCTTTCTGGAAAGTCTACTAACACAGAAAAACTGAAAATTTTCGCGCGGTTTTCTCGTGTTGATCGTCTTGTACGTGTGATATTTCTGTTGTTTGGTAACCATTTTTTATTTTAAGCACATTTATTTAAAGTTCTTTTGTCTTAGTTTAATATAAGGAGGAGTTGGCAAGTGCTTAACAAAAAGAAAAGGGCAAAATTTATCGATTTTCAAAAAAAAATTTTGACGCCATTTTGTAAAAAAGGACTGGGGCAACCTGCAAACTCATCACTCATGAGTGGCTTCAAAGATGGCGGCGGAGTTATCGTTCCAGGTTATTTACAGTTCACTGAAACCGCCCCATCCTGGGGATCGGGCAGGTTAGAAAATGTCCCAGGGAGGGGATGAATTTTATGATCAAACCCCCTATACTGTCCCGGCCTCTCCCCCCACGGGGTTTACATTGATAGGTGCATAATATGGGTAGGTTTAGGTAATATTTATGTTTTTGAGAGTTTTAAGAATAAGCTAGTACATTTTCAAATTAGAGTGAAAGTATAATGAAGTAAACTACTACACACTCCTTGTTAAAGTTCTTGGGTCTCGGTCTGAAATTCAGAGCCTGAATTCTGAAATTTGCAGTATCCCACTATCTACAGGATACCAAAAATTTGGTTTTGGATACCAAAATGTGAATGACTTCGATACTGAGAAAATTTCAAACATTAGGAAAATGTTAATTAAACACTTTTGACGGGCTCCTGATAGCTTTTGAATACTATCAACTTGCCACCAGTCTTTCCTCATTGAGAAAAGGGCAAAGTCCGAGGGAAGTATCACTCAGGGGCGGATCCAGGACTTTTCGTACCGTTAGTCAATGTTTTCGGATGTACAATATAGTTTTGCGAGCGGCGAATGCGCGAGGATCCTAGGGGGGGGTCTGTCCCCCAGGAATTTTTATATTTTTAAACATCAGAAACGCAATTTGTATCACTCTGAAAGCAGCTTGAACAAAAAATTAACTTCATGAAATGGGAGATAATTATAGCAAAATTATCAGTCTCACTGACTCTCACAACTCGCTCCTTAGGGAAAAGTAAAGGAGAAGTACTTGCAGAAATGTGATAATTGTGGAAGACGTTTCTTTTTATTAAATTACGGATTGCTAGTATTATGTTTAACTATCTGATGATCATGGTACTACACTCATTTTTGTTTGCGTAATAGCCTTGTTGAGTCATTGATCACTTGAGAATAAATCACTACAGTGTCATATTACTCAAATAAACATATATGAATTTTAAAGTCTAATTAACATTCATCTATAAAACCTGACCTTTATATCCTATGTATGCTACATTAATGCATTTATATAGGTTATCCTCCATATTAATAGCCTCTGAGTTCTGACGGTCCTTCAGATGCAGAATTAGAAATATGCAAATTTGTTGTGTAAATCAAAATTCATAGCTAAATCTAAATCAAGATACGCGTATTCAAGTTACAATTTTACATATGCATGGCGCGCATCTTGTTCGCTTATAAATATTGTTATGCTGTCTAAAACGAAATAAAATTTACATATCACATTAAATTTACCTTATTGCACTTCAGAATAAAGATCTCGGCGCCAATAGTGAATGCTTCCACTCAAACAGTCAAACTGTAGTTCGTGCTATTCGTGGCGCCTAGCAACTGCTCACTGAATCGAACTCTCCGATATTTAGCGTCGATTTTCCTCCGAAGATCAGCGCAACAGTCTTGTAAGACAGCTAAATTATTCACCGCAAATGCGGATTGAACCGTTTCGTGATCATGAATACTACAAGAACTGGAGCAGCAGACATTTCCGAATTCTCCGTAGATATCTTTAAATTGAACCTTTCGACAAAGCTCCAACATGACACTTCGAATGAGCGCGCGCTCGGAAAGACTTTACCACGCGTCAAATATTAATGATATTCCGACTAATGGGCGCCCCTGACTTTTGTAAATCGGTCAGAACTCCCCACAGATCAGTCAAAATCGAAAAAAATCGCTTGTTTCTATGGCAATAAGCGTCTAGACCAATCAGAACACTGAATTTTTACTTTTTGACTGACCGACTTTGCGTATGTCAGCTGCTCATTGACCTGACTATGCTCGTCGGCTCAACCACTGTATGAAATTTGATCACTGGACTACAGTTCGATTGGAATGTTAATTGCTGGCGCTGCATGATAATAGATACTGGACTATTATAAGGTGTCGCTGCATGATAAAAAATAACTGGACTATTGGTCATATATTTAAGACTTTAATTAAAGTGCATATGACATGAAATTTCTTATTTTCTTAAATGAAAGAACTCTTTAAGTTGTAGTGTAACTTACTTTTCAGTTTCTTGTTTTTATGGTTTGTTCCCGATATATTTCAATTTGTTTGATATGTAAATGAGTGTGAATATGTCCGCTAATTTGTGACGTCATGTTGGTTGCAAGCTCTTCAAAATGGTTGAATATCACGGCTATCATCCAAGATAATAATTTCTAACTTCACTCACTGGTAGATGTGATAAAATACTGGAGAAAAACGTGATCTGATATTAACAGTTTTTAGAGTTAATACATTTATAACCAACATGACGTCATAAATTAGCGGACATATTCACACTCATTTACATATGAAACAAACTGAAATATCTCGGGAACAAACCATAAAAACAAGAAACTGAAAAATAAGTTACACTACAACTTAAAGAGTTCTTTAATTTAAGAAAATAAGAAATTTCATGTCATATGCACTTTAGGTTCGCAATTTTTACGTTAGTCGCGTGACTGATTTGACGACCCCTAGATCCGCCCCTGGTACTAGTGACTACTATCACTTAATATATAGGGCAATATAAATAAAACAGTACTATCCCATGACCCATGTGGAGTTTTGATTTCCGTGACTAAAAACAACAAAACGTCACATCACACCAAACATTTGTCATATATTATAATTGATTGTACGATCTTACCTGTTGTTTTATGACCGCAATTGGGACAGAAATTACAATTTGGAAGAGGAAATTCGTGCGCACACTGTTCACATGCCGCCATTTTGAATAATATAGCAACTGGAGTTACCATAGTTACCGGACTATGCGCGCGCATTAGTTTTAGATTTCTACGGAAGGCGTCTACATTTGTATGGAAGGCATGCATAAAATTTCTACGGAAGGCGTCTACATTTGTATGGAAGGCATGCATAAAATTTCTACGGAAGGCGTCTACATTTGTATGGAAGGCATGCATAAAATTTCTACGGAAGGCGTCTACATTTGTATGGAAGGCATGCATAAAATTTCTACGGAAAGCATCTACATTTGTATGGAAGGCATGTATAAAATTTCTATGGAAGGCATCTACATTTGTATGGAAGGCACGCATAAAATTTCTATGGAAGGCATCTACATTTGTATGGAAGAAGTCTACATTTGTACGGAAAGCGTCTATATTTCTGCGGAAGTCGTCTGGATTTTCTACGGAAACGCCGCACATTTATACAGAAACGCTCTGTTATTAAGGAAAACTACTTCAAGTACACAGAACGAATGTGATTTAATACGGAACAAGCGTGTCCCTAATGGGCAACCGTAGGAAACGGTCGCTGTGAGTCTTTTCAGTTCAATTTTATAGAGAAATAGTTTCGTTTGCGCTTGTGGGATTTTATCCTAGATATACGCATGTGCAGAATACACCATAAGTTCTATTCCCGTGTTTATCCAATACGCTAGTTGAGTAAACCTTATCATTAATGATAATATGTAAACTAGAACACTATAATTGACCTCCGCTTGTGGAGATTTTAATTTAGGGCGATTAATTAAACTGAAATCTGTTCTATCACAATGCACTACAGTGCCTATGGTTATGTCTATATGCATGTCAAATGTCTAGTGTAACGTTGGATAGGTTCATTGTCATACGGTCCCGACAAGCAGCAACGTACAGTAGTCTTCCAGCCGAAAATAATTACTTTTGATTCGGGTCAGTAATTATAATAGATAACAAGTGAAAGTTGGCCGCGGTATTCCCATGCTATGCATACGAAGTATGTGCATTATATCAACATATACTCGAGAATAGTTATCCGGCTTTAACGATCTTCGTGATTCAGTAAAGACCAGCGAAGTAGACGACACAAAGTTATTTTCATCTGTCAAATGTCAGGACGATGCTATGTTACTTCAAAGTGATCTTAGAAACTTAGAACACTGGTCATCTGTATCTGGTTTGACCTTCAATGAAAAGAAATGCAAGCAGCAACGAATAACGAGAAAGATTACACCAGTAACGTCAACATATATGATAAACGATCACCAATTAAACACAACCGACACTGAAAGAGATCTTGGTGTGTGTATAGCATCAAACCTTACGTGGAAAACGCAAGTTCACCATCAGGCGTCAAAAGCAAACCAACGGTTAGGCTATATAAGAAGAAATACCATGTTCATCAAAAGTACTGCACCAAGACGAACATTGTATCTTGCACTGGTTCGATCTCATTTCGGGTATGCCTCCCAGATTTGGGCACCGCAGACGATTGAACTTATTGACATTTTAGAAAGAACTCAGAGGCGGGCAACAAAATATATTTTGAACTTGCCATTCTCGACAGACGTAGACTATAAAACAAGATTACAATCCTTGCATCTTCTTCCCGTATCTTACTGGCA